TGACCAGATAAATGTCTGTCAATGAAATCATCATAGACCTGTGAGCAAAGTACACCTGTCTTAATTGAAAGAAAAGTAAAATAAGAACCTGGCTTCAAAATTGTTTGAAAAGTACCTTCCGCTTTAAACATAGACGACTGAGGTATGAGCCATCTAGCTCCTATATTGTCACTGTTGTACTCTAAGGACCAATATGTTGTTTTCCCCGCTCTGACTTGGCCTTGGTCCAGTCTAACAACAATCCCCAAAGAAGGTTGCAAATGAACACAGTCACTTGCAGGTGGCAGCAGAGCCCCGGGCGGCATCAAGCTCGAGCACGGAGAATGTGTGCAACTGCCCAGTTGCTTTGGGGAGAGGAAGGGACAATGCCTCTGGCTGATAGAAATCATCATCTTAGAGTCTATTTCTAACTGTCTTTCGAAGTTAGGAGAGAGGAAAAAAAGAGTAATAACAAAAGTAGTGATGTCACAGAACAGACAGCTTCTCATAGTGGGCAACTTGTGAAGGCAGGTGGTTATATTTGATTGATTTGGGTAGCAACATCGGAAAGCTTTGGTAGATACAATAGTTTATTTTTATTGTAAAATGTAATGTATATTTGAAAGAGTGCACATATACAATTTAAAGTATAGTCATAAAGCAAAAGAGTATTAATCGCCTTTAATGTCAAAGGATGGACCATTGCCCGTCCCTCAGAAACCCCAGACCCACTGTGAGTTCATTCTTAACAATAACCTCCTTTTCTAACAGATATAACCATTTTCCTGGATCTTATGGTAATCATTTCCTTGCTTTTCTTAAGAGGTTTTTTTTCCCCTTTGTATCTTGCTTCTTTCCCTCAACATAATGACTATAAGACTCATTCATGGAATGCATTCATTCTCATAGTGGGCAACTTGTGAAGGCAGGTGGTTATATTTGATTGATTTGGGTAGCAACATCGGAAAGCTTTGGTAGATACAATAGTTTATTTTTATTGTAAAATGTAATGTATATTTGAAAGAGTGCACATATACAATTTAAAGTATAGTCATAAAGCAAAAGAGTATTAATCGCCTTTAATGTCAAAGGATGGACCGTTGCCCGTCCCTCAGAAACCCCAGCCCCACTGTGAGTTCGTTCTTAACCATAACCTCCTTTTCTAATAGATATAACCATTTTCCTAGATCTTACGGTAATCATTTCCTTGCTTTTCTTAAGAGGTTTTTTTTTCCCCTTTGCATCTTGCTTCTTTCCCTCAACATAATGACTATAAGACTCATTCATGGAATGCATTCATTTTCATTGCGGTGTAATATTCCACTTGCTAAGAGAAAGTGTTCTTGTTGATGGAGATGTAGTTGCTGCTGGGAACCTTCTTATCATGTGTCTTGTGCACATGCTCACAGATTTCTCTCTGGGGGTGCTTCCCCTAGTTGAGAGCTCTTTGCCGTCACCCAGCAGGTTCACAGATGGCAGGGTCCTACCCCCAGAGTGTCTGATGCAGTGGGATCAGAGAGGTTATATTTCTAACAAGTTCCCAACTGATGCTGATGCTGCAGCCAGGCGTGGGGACCATACTTTGAGAACTGCTTTGTTACAGGAAGGGATTTGCTGGGTCAGGGGCATGCATCTTTTCAGCTGTACAAAGTAATGCAAAGCCATTTTCCTAAGTAGTGTCTTCACAATCCTGCAACAGTGTATGCATGTCCCATTGTTCTATTACACCTACGCCAACATTTATTATTGTCAGACTTCAATTTTTGCCAAGGCAGTGAGTATGGAAGTTGTCTCTCATTGTGGTTTTTTTAACTTTTCTTTTTTCTTCTTTTTTAATCCTCACCTGAGGATATTTTTTCCATTGCTTTTCACGGAGAGTGGAGGAGAGGAAGGGAGGGGAAAAGAGAGAGAAACATCGATGTGAGAGAGATACATCGATTGGTTGCCTCTAGCACATGACCTGACCAGGGGTGGGAAGCGAACCTACTGCCCAGGTTTGTGCCCTTGACTGGGATTGAACCTGCAACCCTTTGGTGCGTAATCCAATGCTCTGACCACTTAGAAACACCAGCCAGGGCTTAAATTTTATTTTTCGAATATGGTTTGCATTCAGTACTATTTTGTATTAGTTTCAGATGTACAAAACAGCAGATAGGCATTCATATAGTTTACATAGTGTTCCCTTCAGTAATTCAAGTGCCCACCTGGCACCATGGACAGTTATTACAATATTGTTGACCATATTCCCTATGTTTTACCTTATATTCCCATGCCTACTTTGTAACTACCAATTAGTACACCTTAATTCCGTCACCTTTTAATTTACATTTCCTTAATTCCAATGAATGTGAGTACTAATTGGCCATTTGAATTTGTGTGGGGGTTTTGTGTGTGTGTGATGTGCCTATTCCAGTCTTCTGCCCATTTTTCTGTGGGTTATCTGTCTTTTTTCTTACTGTTATTTCACCACTATTTGCTGAAAACATCACAGTAAAATCCTCATTGATTAATTTTTAAAACTTAAAGGAATCTTGGTATGCTTGGACAAAATCTTCTTTAGTAGCAGCAGGATTAAGCTACACAAGAGAATTCTTTAGATAGCCTTTCTTTTGCAAATGGCTTCATAGAAAATAAATGAAGGACTTTCTCCAAACAAGTTACTAACTGTAGAAGTAAAACCATGTAAAGGAAACATCAGTATTCTTCATACATTCACTGAAAATGTGTCTGTAAGCCCAAGGCCATCTTTAAATGGTAATAATGCAACTGAAATAGATCCTTCAAGGAGAGGAGGCCGATTATGGAGGCCAACATGGCCATCGACACTTGTTAGATTGTCTCTGAAGAACAAAATTCTGAGCAGCAAAAGCTTCAAGTGAATGAAATTGTATCCAATTCTCAATCTAATGAAAACACTTTGGGCTCTGGGCCAGGGAATAGATTTGGACCATGGATGGGACTTCTTTCAGGCTCTTAAACTTAAATGCCTAGAATTATTTTTAAAGTACCATCCTACTCAGTCCTTTGGAATAAAACTGTGGTTTTCAATAAAAAAATTTTTTAACTTTATTTCAAAATAAGGATGGACTGCAACATCTTTGATCTTCGGTGGTTCAGAAAAATGCACACTTCTTGCATAGTCAACATGTAGCAAAGACACCTTTTATAGCCTCCCACCACCCACAACACACCCCCCACACACACCATGCATAAAGATTTACACATAAACACATTATATGCTGAGTCTACATACATACACATGTGCACACACATGCACACATATCCATGCACACACACTCACACTTTGTACCTGAAAAACCTGAGGCAAATATGCATACACATGAATTTAATATAAAGGGATGTATCTTCCTTTCTGAAAATATTAAATATTATATCCTGAAGACATCTCTATCCCTCAGTTTCTCAACCAGTCGAGAATGAAGGAACCATTTTAGAATTATCAGTTTGTGTAAAAACTTTATTTTTTTTGGAATGGAAGTCAGTTTCAAATGTTAAGAGTGCAAGAGTGTTCCTCAAATTGTTGCATATTTTTTAAATGTCATATCTAAAGAATATAGAGACTTGCTTTAAAATAGAAGCACTTTGCCTGGCCAGCATGGCTCAGTGGTTAAGCATCAACCTATGAACAGGTGGTCAGTTGAGGTTCGATTCCTGGTCAGGGCACATGCCTCGGTTGCAGGCTTGATCCCCAGAAGGGGGCATGCAGGAGTCAGCTGGTCAATGATTCTCTGTCATAATAGATGTCTCTAGTTCTCTCTCCCTCTCCCTTCCTCTCTGAAGTCAATAAAAATATATTTTCTTTTAAACAATATATGCGCTTAGAAGGAAAACATGTTTTTCCACACATCCCCCCCTTTCTCAAGCAAATAAGATGGAATTAACAGTGAGATGGAATTAATCAAGAGATTCATTCAGCTGGGGAAGACCTTCCCTTCCATTGAGGTTTAATAAAACTGCTTCCCAAGCTGGACCCCAACAGCTCAAGGCTCAGTGGGTAAGTCACCCCGCTGGTGACACAGGGACCCAGTCAGCTCAGATTCTGAATTCCCAGTCCATTTCCCTCCATCCATCTGGTCCTGAGCCCTGTGCCCACAGCTCCCAACCCAGGTGAGAGGTCCTGCCTGGGAGCACAGACCCATACATCTGTGACGTAGGAGCCCTTCTTTGCCCAAACCCTATTCCTTCAAGCACATGGCCACAAGGAAGGAGCCAGATCCCAGTGATCACCAAATGCCAGCAGGGCCTGGTATTCAGGATGCTTTACTTCTGGGCCTCCATGGGCACTCGTGGACCAGCTCTCTCCTAGAGTGTCATCACTCTGGGGCTTGGAACCCAGAGACCAGTGGCCACCTGTCAGCCAGTGAAGCGCACCTGGCCAAGGTCCGCCCTCACCAGGACTGTCATCAGTGACGCTGGGCCGGGAAGCCTGGGACTGCTCACAGGAGTGAACGTCTCAGCTCGTTCTCAGAGGAGGAGATAGGAGCGGCCTCAGGCTGTGGCATGGGAGTATATCCCATCATGGTCTAAGCCAGGGGTGGGCAAACTTTTTGACTCGAGGGCCACAATGGGTTCTTAAACTGGACCGGAGGGCCGGAACAAAAGCATGGATGGAGTGTTTGTGTGAACTAATATAAATTCAAAGTAAACATCATTACATAAAAGGGTATGGTCTTTTTTTTTTTTTAGTTTTATTCATTTCAAACGGGCCGAATCCGGCCTGCGGGCCGTAGTTTGCCCACGGCTGGTCTAAGCCCAAGGATCCAGGCCTCTTGAGTTCACAGACCTAAGAGGCAGCACAAGTTGATCTGTCATTCCTTCTCACCTGGCAGGACCTTCCTCTTCTTATCCTTTCACTTTTCAATTATGTGCTCCTTAAAGGATTTGGGGTGTGGGGCTGCCACTTCTTTCTGGACATCTGGACACAATCTTTATTCATTTATATAAGCTCATCTTAGATGCCGGTCTCATTTGTAGCATCTCTTGATTTATTTATCTTTCATCCCGCAAACATTGGTGAGGTTCTGCTGTTTGCTTAGTACAGTGTCAAGAAGTAGGGATCTAAAGATGAACTAAATAGAGTCCCTTTCCTCACAGAGCTTACCGCTCAGGAGAGGCGGCGGATAAGTGAATCCACAATTAGAGAACACTGCGATCACTATGATTAGCTTTGGGGGTGTGGACATGGAAGCTTCTGATTCAGTTCCCAAGCCCATGCGAGTGGAGGTGGCCACCAGCACTGCTGTCTTCCTGACACCCCGTTTCTTCATGGGGCTTCCAGGTCTAGGTTGCTAAGACACCCAGTTTCTCCAGGTCACACCCAGGTGGAGGTAGGCTCATGTGGATGTGGCAGCATTGACCTCCACCTGCAACAGTAGGCGCTTCATTCTCAGAATCTCCCCGGGTCTCCTGGGAAGTAGCCCACAGAGGGGACATCCCGTGAGCTCACATAAGTCCTCTCAGCCCCCCAGATCGCTGAGTCCTCTGCCACACACCAGCCTCTGTGCATGTGCCTCGTCTCACCCTGTCACAGCTGCTGTGAGGGCGCTGATGTATTCATTCCCAATGCTGCTGGCATCGCCGTCTGCCAGCTTCTCCTGCTGCCACATCGCTATGCCAGCCACTGAGGGGGCTGCTGAAGCTGGGCTGATGCAGCCATGAGGGCAGTGTCTGCTTCGGGTTAAACTCTCCACAGTTCTACCTTCCCATTCTCACCCCTTCCGGCCGCCACCACCTGGATGTTTTTACTCTGCTGGGGAAGAATCTTCTAGACTTGTGTTTCGCACTCGCTTGCCTTGGTCCCTGCGTGCTCCTGGATGCTATGTCTCATCACTCAGAGGCTCCACAGGGAACTGGCTCTCGAGCCATTCGCTTGTCCCCAGAACTCAGGCCTGTGTGCCGGGCTTTGCCTGGAGGAGGGAGGAGAGTAGGGTCACGCCTTTGATTACCATGTCGTTGTTCTTCTTTAGTCTAGTTCAGGGTCGCCAACCTTTTGAACCTCACGGACCACTGGCTGGCGACCCCTGGTCTAGTTCATACGCCTGACACTCCCCTCAGTACGAATATTTTCTGGAAGATGCCTCCATCGAGTATTCAAAACTACTCCCAGCAGAGCTGTTCGCAGCTCCCAGCAGGGCCCAGGGTGCAGAAATCCCTATGGAGGCTGCTGTTAGAGTTTAGAGCTTTGCTGGTAAGACAGGCAGTGTTTCCTGGAATTCTTTGGGTCCCTTTAGCACTTTATTCTTCACTTCTCAACTCATATATTCTCACATACCCTCTAAAGAAATGGCAGCTGAAAAAGGCAGAGTCCCCAGAAACCAAGATGAATTTCAAATGTAGAAGCAACGAATTTATTGGACCAATGGTGCTACTTCCCACTTCCCACAGGGACCAATGTGCCCAGTGTAGCCTTCACGAAGCTCCCACACTCAAAGAAATCCCATAGCCTGTGTCCACAACCTTTTCCATTCAAGGGAGGGCAGCCTTGCCTAGTGGTTCCCTCCAAGAGCCCCTGCCAGCAGCGCAGCACTGGAACCTGGTCCTCGGAAGGGGCATCACATGCCACTGAGACTGATGGTTGAGAGTCTGTCTAACATCCCTGAACGTCCATGCATGTCCCTTCAGTGACAGTTTTTCTGGCTTTTAGAGAGCTTTTCTTTTAAAATTAATTCCATATAAGTAAGGTAGATGCTAAATAGTTGACTTCTGGGTAAGTGAGAGGTAGCATACATCCAAATTAAGCTACTAAACAGATTGTACCAAAAAAGCACATTGTGTTGGGTGCTTATAGGCATTCATTGTGATCTTTTCTGTGGCTGCAGAGTGATGGAATTGCTGAAGCAAAACTCTGATTAAAGCTATTCGCAATTTAGCATTTGCCATCATATGGAAATGTCAGTTCCATCTACCAAAAAGAGAGTTTTACAGGCGTATTCAATATAAAATGCAAATATAATAGCTCAGTGGCCTGGAGGTGTCAGCTGTGTTTCACTTAAACCTATTACCTTGGCAGATTAAATACAGTTCCAGATCTTTCTCAAGGAGGATATTCTAATGAAGTTACATCTTATATCGGCTTTTGTGGTTCATCAGTTCAATTGGATATGAGTAGAATGAGGACAAAAATGGGTCAGGAATAAGAGCGAATGGGTCACAGCCATGGAGAAACAGGAGGATCTGTCTCTCAGGCCTTCCAATCCTGACTGAGAACAACGATAAATATGAGCAATGTATGGCAAACATTTCTCTCTCAGATGATGAAATAGGTCAGGGTCCCCCAACCCCACCAGGCCTGCCTAGTCACTTCCTAATCTCGATGCCTGCTTCTGCAACCCTACTTAACTGGTGAGCTAGGATGCTGTCTCCACCTGGTGCCTATGCGGCCATTTGGGCTCCCAGTTCCCTTAGCTGAAGCCCACAGTAGTGCAGCCCCCTCTCATTTGACCACACGCTCCAGACTCTGACCTCAGCTTCACCTTCAGGACTCACGTGCACATCATAGATTGTCTTGCTATGGCCAATGTCCTGCTGGTTAGGACTTTTTGCTTGAATGCCACATAATCCATGATTCCATGGCACCACCCAATCCTCGCAAGGGCTCCCCCGGGACCACCTTGTCTCACCTCCCAGCCCACACCTCCACACTGATGGAAGTGTTGCTGGCTACTGAGCAGCCCGCTTTAAGGACAGTTCTCAGATGTGGTGGGAATTAAGAAGCCCCATCCTGTTTCTCCAACACAGCTCTACTGTCCTCTCACTTGTTTTGATCAGTTACAAGCTTTGGGGTTTATGTGTCCTGCGGCGTTTCCAAGGGAGTGTCGTGCGAATTACTACAGAGAACTGCAGAAATAGTTGATCCTTTTTCAAAGAGCATTGTTTCTATAGCTCCTGTTTTTGCTTTGTCTTACGTTATTATGCTGTGCATATTATATGCCTTTGTTATTTATATTTATGATAAAAAAGAAAAACATGAAGAAATCTTGCTCTGTGGTTCCTGATCTAAAACATTCTACTTGAATAATACCATTATCACCAAAATATTTCTTCCAAAGAAGATAGTAACCTACAGAGCAATGTTTACTAGGCTGTTGGGGTGCAGGAGGAGGGATGGGAGATAGCTCCACGGCTGTAGAAGATGAATCTAGAAGGGAAATCGGGGCCTCAGGGAGCCAGTTTCTCCTGATTCTGCCCTAACTACCTACGCGATGCGGAGTGATTTGAATCCCACTCACTCAGTTTTCTCCTCTACGAGGAAGTCAACCTAGAACAGGTCCTTCAACTGTAATCTTCTATGTTCCCATGACTACGCATGACGCAGACGTGATGGGAGAGGCTAGCTAGTTAGGGATCTAGGCTATTACCCGAACAAGAGCAACAATTACCAACTTCCATTCCCAGTCTTTTCCGCCAGATGTGGCCCTCAGCACTTTACATACATCATCTCATTTAATTCCCAGTCACTCCTGGAGGTTGGTATCATGGTCCCCATTTCACGGAAGAGGGGACAGTTCCCAGAGAAGTTTCCCAATTGGTTAGGCTCACCATATGGATAAATCCCGAGCAGTGGTTCCTATCCTGCTGGGACCACCTCTACACTCACTCATAGTGATTCACTCAGAGCCGCTTCTCCTCCCTCTCGTTGTCTGAAATCATGCCAGAGCTCCTCCTTCATGTACATTCTCAATGCCTTACTGACCCCCTTTCCTGACTCCTGTCATACACGTGTGTCTGTGCCTTTGGCTTGCGAGAAAACAATAGTGATCTAGAATTCTGCATCCATTCACTCTTTGCCACAAGATGGGAATCAGTAAGAGAAGAGCAAAAATGAATTTCTGAGCAGCCACTTGCAATATGAAATGTAAGTGAAGATATGACCCACAGAGGGCAAGGTTTAGCTCAGAAGAATTAACTTTTTAAGATAATCATGTAAAATCCTCTTCATAGGGGCAAAGATGCCTAACGTGTCATCTGTCATTTTGCTGCAGCCACCTTTGAATCATAAACCATGGAGGGCCAGCTGTGGGACACTTCTCCCAGCTGGCGATGGGGTCTAGCTGGTCACCCAACCTTTGCATCTCATCCCAGCAAACCAGTCTTGTTTCTTTAAAATGCACCACCCCACACCCAACCATCCAACAACTTTTGAGTGGCAATTACTTCTGTGACAGGCCTAAGCAAGTGAAAGTGATCCTTTGCCAGAAAGTAGAAGTTTTGTACAAATAAAATGGACTTCAAAGTCAGAATTGTGCACCAGGTCATCACAGTCTACATTTGGAAGTAAGCAAAAGCTCTGCTGTTTCATTTCTATTCTAAGACTGCAGTCAGACATCATTATTCGCAGATTCCATACTTGCAAGTTCACCCCCTCACAGGTATGTGTAACCCCGGCACTTGCAATGCATGGTCATTCGTGAACTTGTACAGGGAGGCTACAGTTTCGAGTCATCCAATGTAAACATTCCCAGCGGAGACTGAAGGAGATAACGCTCTCCCTCTTGTTTAAACTCTCATGCTGTAAACAAGTGCTCTTTCTTTTCACTGTCTATTTAGCGACATGTTTTCCACATTTTGTGATTTTGATTCACTGTTTAAAATGCCTCCCAAGTTTAGTGCTCCAGAGCTGTTTGCCTGGTGTTCTTTTAAGTTCTTTGTGGAGAAACATGTGCACTAGAGAAGTTTCGATCAGGCATGACTTACAGCGCTGTTGGTCGTCAGTTAAATGCTAGTAAATTAACAGTATATATTAAATAAGGTCTTTAGACAGAAAAACACATAAAACAAGGTTTTGTATTAATCAGTTGACAAACATATTGTCACCAGAGGCATGAGGGAACCTAACCCTGGAATTCTTCCAAGAACAATAGCTCAGTACTTGCTACACCAGAGCCTGTGGTGACTCTATAGAGCAATCTGCCATGAATAATGAGGACCAACTGTGTTCACACATTTAGGAATTCCTAATGATGATGTCTTGTACCAGTGATCTCGATCCATGTTCTCCTTCATGAAAGATGGAAACTTACAAGAGTGTCCTTATTCCTTCTATGGTGGGCAGCTTTTCTCCTCCATTCAACCAGCAATGACTGAGCGCTCCAGAACCCACTGCTGCGGGGAGATAATGCAAAAGACACATTTAGCGGTCTCTGAGCTCGAGAGATGTCACCTTTGTTGGAAAGACCGGGTTACTGTGGCAGATGTAGCCAGGTCACAAGGAAAGTGGAAACACCTTAGGAATGGCAGGGAGAACAGGCTCCCCAAGGCGTAACCTAAGGGAAACAGGCTATTTTTCTAATAGTAACCTTGAACTGTTAATTTAGTGTTTCCTCCCAGGAACTCTGCAGAGGAAGTTCAGCGTTAGCCAGAGCTTCTAATTAACTCCAAAGTTCCTACCACATCAGCAAACACCTACAGACCACCCCAGTGTTCATTTCTCACCTGACAGAAGTAAAAAAACTGATGTAAGTGAGAACTGTACCATAGGAAATCCTTTTTCGCACTACGGGAAATGGTTGCTATATTTTCCCTCAGTTTCATTATTTTGAGGGCCTGTAATCTTCAAGTTAAAAAAATACAGTATTTCTGATACTTATAATAAAAATAGTAATATTAATTTATTAAGTACCCAACATGCACCAGGACCTGTTCTGGGTGCTGGGAATATAGGGATAAAACTCACAGCCTCTCTCTGCCTTGAGTATCTCACAATGAAATTGGAGAACCTGATCATTGTAGAAGGGAGGTGAATATGTGAGAGAGGGAAGCAGCAGGAGGGGGCCTGTGGCAGCACATAACCCAAAGGGGGCTTGGGGAGTGCGTAATGCTTCCTACTGGAACAGAATCATGAAGGTGGAGAAGGAATTGGCCAAATGAAGAAAGTAGAGTTGAACATTCCAGGAGGCAGGAACATAGTAGGGAACCTTAGAGGAATGAAAGACTATGGGGTGTTCTGTGACCTACAGCACAGGGTGGGAAATGGAAGAGTCTCAAAAGAGAAGGCTGGGGAGAGGCAAGACCTGGACCACGAGGAGCCCTGAAGGCCAAGTTAGGAAGATGGAGTTCACTGCAGGATTTCATAGAGGTTGCACAACAACCACATTGGCAGGTTCTATAGATCACTCAGAAGTAGTGCAGAGAGTGCATTGTGGGCTGGGCACATCTGAGAGTGAAGAGAACAGTTGGACTGTGAGAAAAGCCACTGAGGAAATAAACCAGGAGCAAAGCATCAGGAATATAGCGAGAGAGTGGTTAGAGAGGAATTGAGAAAGTAGAATTGAAAGACCTTAAAGAGCAGTTGGCAGTTAGAGGGAAGAGGGAGAAGGGATGTGGAAGGAGGGGCAGCTTTGTGAATGGTGATGAGTCCAGTCTGGGGTGTATCAAGTGGGGGTGCCTTGGACCATCCCGAGGAGAGGCAACCAGATCCCCAAGGCTCCATCCAGGAGTTTGGATGATCAGTTGACAGATGACAGCTGAAGTCAAGGGTTTATGTCCACACAAAGCAAAATATGTACAAGTTGAAAATAGAAGATAGCCATAGACACCCTCTTGCAGGAACACTAATATTTAAGGGATTAAAAAAAGAAAAACAAGTCTGAGATGAAGCCTGAGAAGAAAGAGCCATGAATGGATGGGGGTGTGGTCAATGGAATCTAACCATGCAAGGGAGGAAGGTATAATTTCATTGGTCATTCGTGACCTGGAGCAGTTTTCACGGGAAAGTAGAAATGGAAGCTGAGTGCTGTGTGCAGAGATGCAAAAGGGGGTGAGGAAGTAGAGACAGGGCAAAGGTAGACCAGCCTGTAGGTAAATCTGACTTTCAAGGGGAGGAGGGAGACAGGAGCAAACAGTGGGGAATGGACAGCTAAGGAGGAGGTCTGCCACGGCCATTTGTAACTTAGCAGTGGTTCCTAATTGCTGGCCGAATTCAGGGAGCATTTTCAAATTGCACGTGACTACAAAGTACACAGACAACAAGATGAAAGCCTCGTAGTGAGGAAGTGAGATAGGGGGTAAGAGAGGATCAAGAATAGAGGAAGCCTTGGGCCAGGGGTTCTAAAGAGGATATTTTTAAAAATTCTTTATTATTGAAAGCATTACATATGTCCCCTTTTCCTCTCCATTGTCCTCTCCCAGCCTGCCTCCACCCCAGCCCCAGCTAAAAAAAAATTCTTAATTGTTGAAAGTATTAGATGTGTCCCCTTACCCCCGCCCCCGCCATTATCATCTCCCAGCCTTCCCCTGAACTCCAGTCCTGGCCTACACCCCCCACTGTCTGTGTCCATTGGTTATGCTTATATGTATACAAGTTCTTTGGTCGATCTCTTCCCCCCCAACTCCCCCAACCCCCGCCCACCCAGCCTCTCCTGCCTTCCCCTAAAGAGGATAATTTTATGGGAACCTATGAAGAATTATGAAATGACATCAGATTAAGACTCAGAAGACCCGTGAATGCCTCTTACTACTTTCAGCCTTAGGTGATTTCGCCACCTCTCTGAGCCTGAGTATCCTAATCTGTATAATAAGCTAAATAGTCTCTGTCTTGCCTGGTTGCAGTGGGAATGAAACAGGATGCTATGTGTGAGGGGCACCTTGGACATCGGAGAGCTCGGGACAGTTGTGCAAGAGGAGGGGCCTTCCTGCTGCCCTTCCCTGTTTGCTGAGGTGCCTTTTCTCGTCGAAGTTATTTCAGGGGCCATGGAAAAGCGCTCTTCCAAACTACAGGCAGGGTCTCTCTCTCCAGGGCCTTGTTTCCTACCCACTTGACATGCTGTAGATGAATAAGAAGAAAATGTTTTTAAAAATAAAATGTTTAATGTTAAAATAGCGCTAACCAGTAATTATATTAGAAATTGATGGAGATGCACAGGAAAAATATGCAAACCCATTTCTAGGTATTTAACCTTCCCAGCTACGGCCCTGGGAGAAGAGGACATTGCAGCACCGTCCCTGCTAAGACGCCAGTGACCACAGGCAAGGAGGCCATGCAGACATCCATTTCCTTCCCTTCTTTCTTGTTCTAAACTAGCACTTCCCTCTTGGGGCAGCAAAACACACACTCCCATGGGGTTTGCCATGCAGTTGCTAATGTCTGCATTTTAAAGAAATTAAAACACAAAGTAAAATATTTCACAGAAAGACTGGGCTTTAAAAGTGAACAAAATAATCTAACAACAAAACACCCATGCTAGTATTTTAGACTAAAACAAAGGTTGCAAACTGGCATGCTGTGGGCCAACATTTATCCTCACAAATAAGTTTTATTTGACCCATAGAATGTTTTAAAAAAAACCCACTTTGAGCCAGTATTTCAATGTTCATATACTAGAGGTCTGATGCACAAAATTCATGCAAGAGTAGGCCTTCCTTCCCCCGGATGCCAGCACCGGCTTCCCTCTGGCACCCTGGAGCCGGGCTTTCTTCCGGCCACCAGCAGGCACCTTATCCTCACAAATAAGTTTTATTTGACCCATAGAATGTTTTAAAAAAAACCCACTTTGAGCCAGTATTTCAATGTTCATATACTAGAGGTCTGATGCACAAAATTCATGCAAGAGTAGGCCTTCCTTCCCCCAGCTGCCGGCACCGGCTTCCCTCTGGCACCCTGGAGCCGGGCTTCCTTCCGGCCACCAGCAGGCACCTAGGACCTGGGCTTCCCTCACAGAGAGAGGCCCTGCCCACCTGACACAGCCCACAGGTTGGTGGCCTGGGCCTCCCTCTGTGGGGCAATCATGGGACAATGGCCAGGTCCCTGACCAATCGCATCGCACCCGCCTTGGCTGGCCTGGCGCCAGTGGGTGTCATAGTGTAGTCATCCGGAAGGTCATTTGGTCTAATTAGCATATTACGCTTTTATTATTATAGATTTTGTATTTAAACATGGCAATTTCTACCACCTCTGGGAACATTGGAAGATCAGACAACACAAGGCACAGCTTTTATTCCCCTGAGTGAACATGAGTGGCTGTCTCCAGTTCACCCCAAGCCCCAGTCCTCCCTATTGCCTCCTTGGGCTGGGCTCTCAGGTCCCTAGAGATTTCAGAGTGTGAAGCCGAGGGTTTAAAGCCAAACAGTAAAATGCAATGGGAGAGAAGTTGGTTTCTGCAGATAGGGTGGCTCAAATAAAGAAAAGGGAAGCAAACGTTCCCCATTCCAAAGACTTGGGGCGGAGTCCCGGATTCTTAGCTCCTCAACAGCCTTCTGTCCACTTCAGGACAGGCCTACAGAAGCTGATGTCCATGTGTTTCCTCTGTGTGCTTCTGCGTCTGATGGAGATTAAAATAAAATCAGCCACTTCCTTCGGGAGAAGCCTAATGTGTGGCCCAAAAGAAAAAATGTGTACCGCTTCAAAAGACGCAGCAGTTGGCCAAAAGGTTCCAAAAGCTCTTCTACCCTCACAAGGTCAACAAACTTTGATAACCTGAGACAGGATGGAAAGACATCTGATATGGACCACACTTTTGAATTCGGAAGATAAAGCTCATTGTAACTTTTATTAACACAGACACACTGGCCATGGCTGGTCTTTGCCACATAGAAGAAATTCCCAAGTAATACATTCTTGGGCTCTTGTCAAGTGGTCTGTTGTCTGTGGAATTTCCTATTCTCCAGCCCCAGAACAGAAAGCAGCCCCCACCCGCCCCCACCCCCAGCTTTGGCCGTCATGAGGTTTAAAGAGGATCATTTGTTTTCATTATAGCCCCTTGAAGCCCTTCCTTCCCTCCTCATTAATGGATTTCCAGCCTTTCATCAAAAAACAAAAAACAAAAAAACAAACAAAAAGAAGGACCTGACAGAGGACATGGTTAAGTGGCTGGCGCGCATGGCGGTGCTGGCTTTAAAGAGAGGAGCCGGCCATTTGCTGATTGCAAGGAGGGGTTGCCATCCTTGGTTAGTATGCTAATTTCGTCTCCTGCATTTAACATTCAGATCAGGTCTGTGCAGGCCCTCCGGAGCCGCAGTCCAGGGATGGGTGGCTGTCTGCCTTGCAGCACTGAACATTCTCTGCGTGAATCACATAAATGCCCAAACATTCCGTGTGCTCTGACTTCATTCTCCTTTCCACCCTCTCGGAGAAACACAGAGACACGGAGCCACACACATGCAAGCATACACTTTACATAATGCCATCACACACACACACACACACACACACACACACACACACACCATAGACACAGAAGGCTATGAATGCTGAAGAAATGCAATGTAAGGTGCAATGCAAGAGTCATCCACAACTGGCTTAATTCCTCCTCCTCTGGATCTCCCAGGCACATATCTGCAAGATATATTTCTCCTGCTCGGGAAACTTGCAACGTATTGGCGAGTCCGAAACAAGGAAGCAACATGATGAGTAAAACCTCAGTCAAAAGGAGGTATCTTATCTATTGACTTTTAAGTCCCAGAAATTTTTTTTTAAAAAATTTTAATTTTTAAAGCCCCAACTTCATTCATGTGAAAGGAGACCAGATAGCTCAGTTAACTGAACACCCAAAAGGAAGGAAGATCCAGTTCATTTTATTCCTGGGAGCCCCACTGTGTTGTGTGTGCTTGGAACCCTGTATTAAAAGAGTCCCGTGTGCCACAGCTGGGTGACAAGAGAAGAGGAATCCCAAACCAGCCCGCATGGCGGTCCAACTGGCAAAGACAGCCACCTGGCACCTTTTGCCAGAAGCCCAGCGGTTGGAAAACTGCATCTCCTCAACCTCCTTCTCCAGCATATTTGTGTAACATTGTAGCAGCTTCCTGGCGGCAAACTGAGAATCAGCAGCTCCTATTATCAGAAGGCACAGGTAGGGGTTGCTTTTAATAGAATGAAGCAAATTTGAGCAAGCAGGAACTCCAATTAAAAGGAGAGGGCAGCTTGGCTTTTATGATTTTGTTTTTGCTTTGTTTCTCCAAGTCTGACACAACTGTGTAACCTGGCCTGCCACGGTCCCCTCCTCTGGACACTGGTGGTCCCTGGTCCTGCCCCAGGTGCCCACGCAGTATCCACACGCGGTTGAGGAACCGCGGGCAGTTCCTATCGGAGTCCCCGACAGCAGCCACGGGTGTTCTCTCCGAGCTACAGACTTGATTTGCCTCGATTTTTTTTTTTTTTTGGCTCTGGTCCAAGATGTTTTCCTGTCATCATTTCACTGTCTTTTCCAGTAATCCTTTTTTAAACATTGCCAACAATTAGTCGATTTATCTCCACCCCCCAGCAGCCCCCACCCCCATATCCATCTCCCCGCACACACACACACTCCACTGAGCCCTATCACTGTCTTGTTTTGCCTTGAAGTATTAGAAATTACAGCTTCTCATTAGCTGGAGAGCACGTTCGGAACGGCTTTGTGTTTACTCACTTAGGAAGGGACGCCGGCCTTTTTAATTATTCCCCCTCCGCGTGCCATCAGAGCTGCGAGCTGTTCCAGGCGGACCCAGCGACTGTGTGTCCTCCGCAAGGCTGTTGGAAGCGATCGGGTTTTACCTCCGCTGCTGCCTTCTTCCTTTCCTTGTCAGCAAGCCAAGGGATCCCCCAAAGCTCTCACGCAGGAGATGCCAACACTGTGAGTCACCTCTCGCTCCCAGAGCGAGCCCGCCGAACGGTGCACGAACCGCAGACCCAAGATGGGGCTTCCCTCCAAGCCACCGAGATCCCTGGATCCAGATGGCCGGCCGGCGCCTCCTTTTTCTTGCTATTGCTCCCTCTTTCTCCTCCACCCTTGTCCATTCCTTCGTGTTCCAGCGCGTTCCTCTTTTTCTCTTCCTTTCTGTGTGGCCGACAGCCTCAGACCCCAGCTTGCTTGGGTCCTTCTCGCCTTCTGTTATTTTTTTTTCCCCCTGCAGCAGGCTTTGGCTGCAACCTCTGCAAGCCGGATCACCAAAGACACACGACTCACTCACAATGAATAATCAATACAGATATTGATCTGTGGAAAATGTTTGTAAATTCCTGAAAGGGGATCAGGAGCAGGGGGCAGGGAGGCTCGTGGGGGACGACGCTGAAGGGCTGGCGGCGGTCGCAAGCAGAACTTCATTTGGATCCCAAGTCTCGCTGGCTCCGAGGCGACGGTACCGGAATGCGTGCGAACGAGGGTGTGCGCGTGGGAGCGCGCGTGTGACGAGGGTGTTGTGTATTCTCCTTTCTCCACAGCTGCTTTCCCCGAAGAATCAGGAGCCAAATGGTCGGGAGCCCCCGTCAGTGCCATGTCTTGGCTGCGGGCCAGCACTGTTTTGTTTTCATTATCACACGCTACTTTGCAATTTGCATAAATACAGGGTTATTTTTTATCGTGTCGCCCAAAAGATAGAAAGGGGGGGAAAAAAATAGAAGTCTTTGTTGTGTACAAGAGGGGCTTGCTGCCTACTCATCATGACTAAGGATTTAGCGTATGTAGAGGGCTTCGGAAGAAATAGGGGCAAGGAATGGGAATCACAGAGAGAAAAGGACACGGGAGAGACAAAAAAGGGGAATTTAAAGAGGACTGCAGGGCACTCAGCCTGGTGGAACCCAATATTAGGCACACACTTTCCTCTATGGAGAAACAGTAGGGCCTTGGACAAGCAAAGAAGAGATAAAGACCACCAAGGTGTAATCTGTGCCCTGGAGTATACATAGACTTCACACGTTCGGCTGGAATGAACTATGTATCCTTGGTAGGAAGGGTACACAGGACATTGAACACAGACTTGCTTTTTCTGCCTCATCCCAAACCTAGGAAGCGTGGGAGCCAAGGCGAGTGCTATCCACTGACGGTTTCCGGGCGGGGAGTTTTGCCCCTTGGTCTTTTTTCCTTGCCTCCCGGACAGCGTGAGCAGTTCAGCTGAGTTTCCGGGGTTGCACACACCCTCGTATTGAGTGGAATTTGCATCCTCCCCTTGGCTTCCTCACCTTCAGGAAATGGAGCGCAGGAGTGTCCTGAGTTCAATGACACCCCATGGGTGACTCTCTCTGGCCTGCTCTGAGTCCTGGCTCCCGAGATGAGGCCCCCTGAGTCCATGCCCCCAAGTGGATGTCAGGCACGCTCACCAGTCTCAGGGAGTGGCACCTCATTTCAGAAGAAGCTTCTAGCTCTCTCAGGCCATTGGATGGTCCCCCTCCCTTTGATTTCCTATCCTTTTGTCTCTCCCCAACTCGCTCTGTGTTTGCGATTCGGTAGTAAAATCTCCTTGGGACACTCTACTCTTTTCTCCCATTGCTCTGTCTGTCTCCTCCCGGCCTGGCGACAGAAGGGATGTGTCGCCTTTCAGATAGGCATCTAGAGTAAGACCTCCGCGTGAGGATTCAATCCCAGCACCTCTGCCTTGAAAGGAGCTGTCCGCTTTATCAGCAGCAGCAGCGGCGGCGGGAACATGGATTTTTTCATTCCCTTTCTGGCTTCTGACTAGCTCCAGCAATCCAATTAGCAGAGGAATTTATATCAAACGGGCTGAGGTGCCCCTACTCAGCACAGCAACTCCAACCCACTCGTAAATTCCACCAATATACATTTTCCGGTGACACGGAGTAATTACAGCACCACACCTTCCTGAGCAGGCCTACCAGTGCCCCGATATATGAATATCAGAATTAAGAAAAGGCAAAATGGGATGACTTTTGTGTATCACCAAGGATGCCTGAAGGCTGCCCTGTGCATCCTTCACTCTGCATCTCGCATTCTTCTAGCGTGTATCAAAGGGGCCAAGTGGGCCAGAATTGAGCATTATGGAGGATTCAGAAGTGGCTAAATCTTGGCCCACCTATGTATTTTCTCCCAATCAAGACATCATGAAACTTCAGGGCTATTAAAGGCTAATTCCCTGTTTCCAGTCTGTACATCCCCCAATATAGTTAAACTATTTAAAATAGCTCCACAAAGAGAAATGTCATTAACTTCATTGGTATTCCATTCCAGTTGGGTACAATCACGATATTGTTGTACCCTTTCATCTATCTGCAATTTCATTCCAAATTTGTCCCTACATGCATCAATCTCTAGCATCTATCTCTCCATTCATCTAGCTATATTCATTTATATACCAACTATTTATTCTGCTTCCCAGTCATCTATTCATCCATGTGCATCTAGATATCCATTTTCTAACCATATATTGATCTATGAATATCTTCCTATTATCTATCATCTACTTGTCTATCCATCTGTATTATTCATCTATCTGTTTTTGTATTCATTATGTATCTATTCAATCATCTATCATTTGCTTATCAGTTACCTTTTAATTTGTGCCTTTTGTTAGCTATGTTCTTAACAGAATCCCAGATTGACATTCTCAATCATTTTTAAGGTAAATAATTCCCAATTTCCAAATGAAGTCTGTAAATGCTATATACTTGGTTATCTATTCTCCAGTATAAAAGTCTTGTAAACTGAAGAAGAAAGGTTCAGCCAGTGTGGCTGAGTGATTGAACATCGACCTATGAACCAGGAGGTCACAGTTCAATTTCCACTCAGGGCGTATGCCAGGGCTGTGGGCTTGATCCCCAGTGTGGGGCATGCAGGAGGCAGCCAATCAATGATTCTCTCTCATCATTGATGTTTCTATCTATCTCTCCCTCTCCCTTCCTCTCTCAAATCAATAAAAAAATATATATTTTTAAAAAGGAAGTCAGTATGATCACATGATTTTCATTGAATTACAAACTACAAGGAAAATATTTTATCCTGGATATCTGGAGCATTTTCCTTGCAAATAAAATTATGCATTTCTACTTCCTCCTAAACCCTGACTTTAAAAAAGCGTAGCATATACTGGTAAATCTCATTCAGCTCCTATATTGACCACTGGGAGACCTTTATACAAGTGGTCCAATTTACACAGAGCTAACTTGAGATTACTTTTACCATAAAGCAAAACAGATACTAAATCTTAACATGGCAATGAGGTTATACATATTTGACTTACCCTGTACCCAGGGGATCCAATATTAGTTTGAGAACTAAAGATTATATTTTTACATTAATTTTATCCAAAATATATTAAAGTTTGGGCCAAACCTTGAGATTCAACACCTTCTCAGAGTGAACTCTCAGAATTAGCTCCAAAGAAACTGAGCCCAACAAAGCATTATTGGGTTGGGGAGAAATGTTCATGGATGAATCTCATTTCTCTTTAGGATAGAAACTATAGTTTGCTGCTGTGTGTGAGGAGCAGAGAATTTGGGCTTGTTTTCACTGTGCTTTATTGAAAACAGTAGCTCAGGTAAGAATACTAATCAGGCAGCTGATCTTGTCTCTGACATCTCTAGTATTCTGTTAGTTTTTAGGCAGTATTATCAGTTCAGGATCCAAGCTGTTTTTAAAAAGAAAAACTAACCATAAGAATATTGATAAAGGTTAAGCTCATAAAGACCTCATCAGTTCTGGTGTTGCAATCCCCAAAGAGCAGACAAGGACCTCAGCCATGCGTCCTCCAAAACTACAAGGGAGAGGAAACCACCTCGTTCCTCTTCTCAACGAGGCATTTCCATTCCTTCCATCCCCAGAGCTCTCTGGATCCGGTTGTAATCAGAAATGAGATTATGTGATTGCATGTTCTAGTCTAGGACTTTTTGTCATGCTAACCAGGGCTGACTTCTCCATTAGGCACAGCAGATGTAGTGGTAGGGGCCCGTAAAAGTTTTAGAGGCCCACGAAAGTGCTTGAATGTCCTTTAAAATCATTGAAAGGTTATACTTTCAGGTCAAATGATATATGTTTTGATATATGATATTAATATATTCATTTTCATGTCAGTGCAATCATAAAGCAGAAGTTTGAATAATTTGGGGAGAGGAAGGGACCCATGAAGGCAAAAACACCCAGGGCCAATGGAAGCCATGCACAGTGTGGTTCTGAGTTCAAGCAGATCACGTATAATTTAGTCGTTAAGCATGGTGGGTAAGGAGCCAGATTACCTGTGTTCAGATGCCAGTGCCACCACTGCTAATGGCATTTAATTTCTCTGCATCTCACTTTCCTTGGTTGTAAAACAGAGATAATAATAATACCTAATGCAGAAGGATGCTGTGACGATTAAATGAGATTATAGATACAAATTGCTTCGCATGGAGCCTACCCATAATGAAGGCTCAACAAAATGTGTTATAATAGTTGTTATTCATTGTTTTTGTTTTAGCTTTGGTGTCTTTGCTTCAAAAGTCTACCTTTCTGTAATCCAGCAGTTATGACTAAATCAATTACTTTTATTTAAAACAATTAAATTATATTCTAGTTAGCACTGATGGGGAAAAAATGTTGGTAATGGAAGTGTCCTCCCAACTCTGGAAATCAGAAATTTTCTCTCCTAGAGGTAGTAAATTCTGCACTCTGTACCTGGAGCTAGATCTTTATTCCATAATATAAAACTCCTCTAATAAATCAGTGTCGTAGCTCCTGATCGGAGAGTTGATTCTTTTCTAACCTAAAACAATTTTTGCAAAATCTTATTAAGAACCACAGGTTAAAAAGAGTATTGTCAAAACTTTCTCTTTCCTTTTCTCTCTTTCCTTTATTATCCCCTCATTTTTTTTGTCATTTAACTCCAATTATGAGATGCTAAGTGCTTTTGGAAATTTCATTGTTAATGTCTTCTTACAGTGCTATTAACGTAAATCAAGTTTAATAGTGTCCCAGCAAGTGTAAAAGCAATCAAAAATTCAGTACTCACGAATCATTCTGTAATTTCAGCATAAAATGTTAATAGAAATAATATCCAATACCATAAAATATCGGTAAATTCAACTTTAAATATATGTGATGGATTACTTCGCCACCCTGTAGCATTGGTGGAATATTCTAGAATGGAGTACTTCATTGGCAGAGCCATACCTCAGTCATGCTCCGGCTGCCAGAGGCCCCTCCTCTGCTTTCCCCTTACCAGCCAATCCTGGCAGAATAGACAGCTCAGTGATGGGCATTTCTTCATCCCAGACACGCTCAGTTATTTGGCCATAAGGAAAAACGACTCAGGATCAGGGTAGGAAGTAGAGACAATTTGAAGGAATTCAAATTAATAAGAACAAAGACAGTGCATTTAAATTCTAAGGAAATTGATCAGAGCTATAAGGCCTTAGCTCCGTGTAATCAGCAAAGACGACTAAGTTCGAGGCCCTGTCCTTTGGGAACTCACAACTCATGAGACAGGCCAAGGCCAAGACACATGTGACGTCCAGTCTTCCAGGCCCAGCAGTGAGAACAGTTACCATGCATGCCCATACGGGAAGCTCTGATGGACCAGTCGTTGGTCAGTTGACTTTAGAAGTTGGCTAAAGCAAGGGGCACATAAAAACACGTACAATGCCACGCACATTAAGCATTTTAAACTTAAAACAACATCTTTTTGCATGAACTACTGCCATGTTGCCAGTCTAGTGTCCAGTCTTTGAAGTGGAGGGAGAATTTAAGGCACCCAGGAGGCCATCAAGTGCAGAATCCTTCCGTTATAGTTGCTCTACCCCCTTGGCAATTTTTAGCAACTCGCCTGAGTGTTTCCACAGAGTTTGTTCAACTGTCATAGAAACAACTCTTTTTGTACCTATACATCTCTGCTTTGTATTTATTGAAGTTATGAATTACATGAACAAGAATAAGTTTTATAAAGAAATTTGAGAACAAACATAACTGACTCTTAGGGAGGATACATCTCACCTTGTGGGCCCAGGACTGCTCAGGTGCTCTAGGATGTGGGCCATTAGCTGGGACCCCATAGAGTGCTGTGGCATCAGCCATCAGGGCTTTCCCAGGGAATGGAGAGTGACTGTTAGTTCAGTTAGTTATTGAAATGGATGCTTAAGAAGTTTCTACTCCATAAACAGAAAGGCGAGCCCAGAGATTTTAAAAAAAATGCATTGTTAGGTCAGAAC